TAGACTTTCTTTATGATTCATGCCCTCAGGGGCTAGGTTGTCATGAAGGATTTGTGTTTGCATCATTATTATGTGTATTCAAAGTTCCACATTCTTTTTAACTGCAAGTAATTCCACATCTGTTTTCTTGGCTACTTGCCTTAACATAGATATGGAACTTCCTTTTATGTATATGCTTTTATGCCACTTTAGAGCTGAAAAATATTTTGAGGTTGATGCTAGAGCAATGTTTGCAAAAAAACATCAGTGTTCATAGTGCCTGAAGGTTTTCTATTAACTGGTCCTATCTTCCAGGAGAAGGTTATTATGTTTCCATTCAGATTCACTAATAAAAACAACTACCTATCTATGAATGAAGTGGAGATGTTGGCAGATCTCTGTTCAGACATCCTGGTCATCCTGAACCATTGGGGACAATGGTAATTGGAAATCACCACTAGAAGTGAACAGAAAATATGACAGAGAATATAAGCTTCAAGTGCAAGTTCTACTGTCTTTTCCTTCAACATCCCTTTGCAAAAGTGATTTGTAAATCCTCTTTACAACTATAATCAAATTTTGCAATTGGCTAGATATTACATCAACTCCATGACTTTCTTTAGCATATCTAGCATATCATTTGCTGGCACATACATCTCATGAAGAATAACAATTGGTATACTGAGTTTAAAGAAAACAAGGAGCATTATTAACATTGTCCATGGGGTCGCGATGGGTCGGACATGACTTTGCAACTAACAACAAAATTTCAATATAAATTTCCATTTGTTCTATTTCATACACTGCTGTGTGAGTCTGTACATAATACATTGCTATATAAATGTGTTAAATAAATATTTCCTTTAACCTTTTTTTTTAAAAAAGTCATAGGTTTTCATTGAAAGAGTTTAGTCTTCATTCTCTTAAGCAACTCTGTAAATTATGAGACTGTTGATGCTATGATAGATTTCATTCTGGTGGTTTCTTACTTGAAAACAAATACAAACTAAGATTCTTCAGTATCCTTTGGATTTATCATTCATTGCTTCTACCAAGAGTGTATTGATAAAATCAGTTGTTAAAATTGGAGGGCAGAGTATTCTGTTATGGACTTAAGATCTTGGAAGAAATGTTTCAAATAAATCTAGTTAATCATCATTATCATCATCATTATCATCACCATCATGAACAGTAAAGTGTACTGACAGCTATCCCTGACAACTGATTGCTTGCCAATATTTTCTTTGGCAAATGTTAACTTTCACCCCATTATCACCATTCAATCTATGCAACAAATTCATTTTGTACACCTAACTGAGAAATTGGCCAACACACATAAGACTAATCCTGACATTAAATTTCAAGACCAGAGTTTTCTTATTTACTGCTACACACACACACACACACACACACACACACACACACACACAACACCCAGAAGGTTATTTTGTTTGGAAATCCCGGAATAATTTGACAGTGTTAGTTGCTATTCTTCCTCAGATAGCAAAATATAAATATCACCATGAATCAGAAATCTACACAACAACAGTAATACCTTTCCCATACCTTTACCTTCCAGTGGAAAGAGACCCAGAACACAAAGTAAGTGTATTTGCATCAAATATTTTTAGATTACATTCCAGTCATAAGCAAACCTACAATAGGTCTCCTTAAGTGCTCCTAATGCTTAGTGGTCTTCTCTCATGCTCCTGCACTCTTCACTTATCTTCTTCCAAATGGAAGAGAGTCTGAAGAAGCATTGGATTCATTAGAAGAATGGAGACAGTTTCATGGATATACTTCATGTTGATAGGAACAAAGATGTTTGCTAAATGCATATTCAAGGAGAGGAAAAGTATTAGAGAACTATTGTTTTCAAAAACTACCATTGTATAACATTAATAATTCACAGTTTGCTCAGTATCACACGCCCTACAAATCAGCTACAAATAGTTTTTTATGTGTGAATTCAAGATGGGTTTTATATTTATTTATTTGTTTATTTTTGTGCCTTCATGTTTAGATTAGTCCCTTCAGTTTTCTTGGGAATGGTTTTTCAGAAAGGATTTACCATTGCTTTCTTCCTTAGGCTTCATATAGAACTAAAACTCATGATGTCCTAGTTTTTAGCCTGATGCCATAACCATTACACCTACTTCTGAACTAGTTATACTTCTTCAATAATGTTGCCTGGGATCATTAACATATTCAGTTATTTTGTTGTAATCCTCTTGGATTGGTGTAAATGGTGGTCAAAATAATGAATACAGACAGACAGCAGACAGATACCAATAAAAGGGAATATTTGTAGCTCAGGGTTGAAATGAGGTCCTTGGTGCCTTCTGAACTTGGCTGTTTTCTTGCAAGCATTTCATTGCCAAAACTAGGTAACATTATTGGTGCTAGTGATGTTAGCACTAGCAGTGATGATATGTTACCAAGTTTGGATAATCTTCAATAAAACAACCAAACTCAAAGACAGATACATATACACACACATGTCCAAAGTCCCAATAAACAAATGCTATTGTTACTAATGTGTTGCAAGGTGTGAATACTGTACAGCCTTTGACGATCTGGTTGTATACATCTGGCCCTATATAGGAGATCAGAATTTGAGGATTTCTACTTGCAGAAACATAATACAGAATACAACTGTATTATTTATCCCAAACCAAAGAGGCACTGCTGTGTATAAAAACTGTGTGGGTAAGTCCTTTTTGAAGCTAGTATGCATCTGCATCCCATTCTTTAGGGTAGAGATGCTGTGAAGACCTGGAAAGTATTTAATATGCTTTTGGATGTGTAACCAAATTTATATTATATTCTGGCATATATGAGATAAAGCAATCTTTTCAAGATGTCTGTCATATATTCTGGCAGACTAACTCAGCAAATCACAAAGACAACAACTGATTCTAAAGCAAAGCAACATATTCTAGAAAGACTCACCAAACCATATAGAATGAACTCAGGAAGGTTGTTACCAAACAAGTTTTAATGTAAATTTAATAACAAATTTTAAGGAAGAGGCAAGAGACAGAGGTGATGCTGCTTATTATGTAAGTGTATGAATGAGAATTACTTAAAGGTTGACACCTTAAGCCATTATTGCTTTGCTTGAGGTTTGTTGAGATAAATGTCCAGTTATACTGATCATACTAAAGAAGGACGCAGTCTCCAGTATTCCATCTGTAGCTCATTCCTCACTTGGGTATATCATGTGCTTGTTTGTTTCTTTTTCAAAAATAAAGAGAAGAAAGATCTTTAGGAAGTAAACCTCTCTCTAAACCATCTTTAATGTCATCCTATCTCTAAAATAATCTTTTAGAAAATCAGTCTGAAAATTGATAATTTCATTTCTTGGGGGCAGTTGAGGATTTAAAGTAAGGGATGGGAAAGATTATATAGATCTCATTGAAAAAAGATCTGATATGAGAAATAATACAGATATAGCTCTATTTTTTCCTAAGTTGCCAGCATAAAATATCCTTTTTGTTAATAACTCTCAAATCTGAGAACATCTTGCAAATTCCTCATGGTACAAGATATTTTGCTATTAAAAGTGATGGTTACTGTATATGACAGAGATGACATTTTCCATTGAATCCTGGCCTATTATTGTGTTACAACATTAAATGAAATCGATTTAATCACTTCATCTTGATTTCTAAAGCACAAGAGTCTGTTGTATTAGCCAATAAGAGCAGCAATCTTTGATATACTTCTGATGCAATACTGAATATTAACAAATACATTGACAGCTTCTGTTTATCTGCATCCATACAGCTTTGCCTATACATCCAATTTCAATTTTGCAAGTTGTGATTAGCCAATATATTATAGTAAACCCCATAGTAGTGCCTTCTGAAATAATCTTTCTAGCTGATTATTCATTCATTCATTCACTATTTTCATTCATTCATTTATTCATTCATTTTCTATAGCCACTCATCCCAGTCAAGTGATTGACTGATTGTCTATAGCAATAGCACTTAGACTTGTATGCCACTTCATAATGTCTTGCAGCCGTCTCTCATTGGTTATAGAGTCAGCATATTGCCCCCAACAATCTAGGCCCTCATTTTACTGAGCTTGGAAGGATGGAACACTGAGTCAACCTTGAGCTAGTCAGGATCAAAGGAGACATTTCTTTCTTTGAGAAGTCCACATATCCTAAAGCTACCAAAATTAAGAAGCACTTCTCTAAAATGTAGGACAACATTCTATGTAGGATAACTTTTACCAGCTTGAACTATCCTTTTTTTTTTAGCTTTCTTTTTAGCTATCTGCTCTATTCTGTAGGTTCAAGGCCAAGAAAGCTGTATCCCATGATTTGTAAAAACATAGACTCCCAGAATTTCTGCATTCTGTGAACTAGAGCATATTATGGATAATAGCCCAATTATGCATATTAACTTAATGTGTATAGATTATTTTAAAGATGAAAGGCAGACATGGCCATTTTGTAACAAAAAAAACCCCTTTGTATGCAAAGTACCTTCTGAATTGAATTTTAGATGCCTTTTAAATTGTTCAGAAGGTTTCAACAGTCACTGTCTACTGTACCCACACACTAGTTTGTTACACTTGGTAGTTGTGAGAGGGACAACATAGCATGCTGAGTTGATGTGATAAAATTCTACTTTTTAAGTTGAGCTTTATTGAATGACATCAAGAGCAGATTGTATACAGCAAAAGAGAGTATATGTTCATGTTTAGAATGCAATTAGGATGTGTTTATCATTCCATGTGGCTAGCAGTGTGGCTGGTATTAATTATGCAACCCTTCTTGCATTTCCATAGGCAAACCTCAACAATCATGCAGTTTCCTAGGAAAGAAAGGCATTGTCTACTTGTTAGTGAAATAATTAGAACAGAATTTGGCACACCCTGTTCTCCAGGGATGGGATGGGGAGGGGAGAAAACTCATGGCTTATGCTTTGTCATAACTCCATGCCAACCAAATGCCAAAACACAGACAAATATACAAAATGTTCCGTAGGGGGGAATTTGAAACCTTTTGTTGGAATGCTGCACATTAGTTGATGAACAGCAAAGTTCTGTGAAAACAGCATCTTTGTCCAAGCTGTAGGTTGTCTCCTTTTTTCTTTCTTTGAAAATGTTCAGGATCTTGTAAAATGAGCCACAATTGACTGTTATGAGCAAGTGAAATTGACAGACATCTGGATCTGACACAAGAAGGAATCCAGGCCTGCATTCTCAAGGTTATCCTATGTGGTAAGAGAACGCTTCATTTTGATTGAGTTAGATTTCCCTTCTACTAACTTTTAGAATCTACATGCAGTAACAGAAGATTTGCAGCTCAACACATTGGCAATGGAACATCAGATTGTGGTGGTGGTGGTCGTGGTGGTGGTGGTGGTGGTGGTGGTGGTGGTGGTGACTGATTGACATTTAGTCCTTGAGATTTATGGCTCCTGCTGTTCAAAGTAGAATTATAGTGCACAAATTTTAAGTCCAGAACAGAACCCTTTCTTCTCATCAATTTTTCCCTCCAAGTGGCTACCATTGATGACATCATCAACATTAATTTGTTTGTCAGCACTGTGGTATACCTCACTCAGTTCACTTAAAACAAAGATAGTAAGCTGATAGTTTCCAAGATATTCCTGAATAACATGCTGGACATAAATTTAATAAATAAATGTCCCTACTGTGTCCTATTGTCGATTATCTATGGACCTGAGGAGATGTTGGACTCCTGAAAATTCAGGAGGACACAGTTCTTCAGCCCAAACTATTTCTCTGTACATAGGGGAAAGTAGGCAATTATTAATTTTGTGCACTGGGTCATTGCCAGTTTTATAGCTAGAATTCCTATATGATTCCAGAAGCAAAGGAAGTGCTAAAGGTTGATCCCTTGGCCTCTGAGAGGAACTCAAATGATAATTTATCTCCAAATGCATATTAAGCTCCCACTAATTGGACCAGAAAAGGTTCAGTACAATTGTTTCTTTTATTCCTGAATAAAACTATCCCTGGATTAACTATCGCTCAAGCTTGACCAGAGGCATGTTTGTTATGATAAACACATGGACACCTGGGCATCTATTTTTAGTCGTCTATTTCTCTGGATTGTTCAATCCTGAGAACTCACATTGTATGAACATTTTTTTAAATACAACAACCAAAAGTTATAGGGGAAATATTGTATGCAGCAATCAAACTTAACTGGCTTGAGTAATCTATAATTCTGGGGGAAATGGCAGGATAGAATATAAGGCAATCAGCAGCAAAGTGAATGGATTCAATTGCAACAGGATAGGTACATTGTTTATTTGTTTTTCTATTTTATTTATTACATTTTTATCCCAACATACCATAAATAACACAAGGAAACAGACATGCCTAATGCTCCTTCCTTCTCCTATTTCCTCCACAATAGCAATCTTATGGCCCACACTGGCCCAGAGTTAACCATCTGGCTTTCATGCCTAAGGCAGAACTAGAATTCCCACTAACTTGGTAAAAACTGTATTTAACTTAACATGCTTGAACATAAATAAACAATTATATAGTTTATATATTTATTTATTTAAAACAATTATATAGGCGCCCATTATATAACCAGTTCTGGGCAGCTCCCAATCAAAAGTTAAAGCATTATACAGAACTATATTAAAACTATAAAACTAAACACATTACACATTAAAAAAATAATTAATTAAACAGATACATATTTAATTTATTTTATTAAATGAATTATGACTGCCCATTCTAGAAGACTCTAGATATCTTAAAACATCCAAATAACTGTCCAGCAAATAAAATTCTGAGCCCACCACTTTGGCAGCATAATCAACTTATTGTCCAAAAAACTATGGCTCTTCAAATATTAATCAAAATAATAAAACAATACGTTGGACTTCAAAAAATGTCTTTTCATATCCTAAGACACATGCACTATAAGACCAGTGCACTATTCCCTCTTTTTTTTCTGCCACTCAGCAGGAAAAAAATAATTTTCCTAAAATAATTATTAGCATACTACAATTATGATGTAAGTTATTCTTAAGGTGATTGTGCCATTCTGTATTATTTAGTTATATGTCAGTGCTGGTATAATGCAATAACATGTGTGATGGGAGTTTTAGAATCACACTTAGCCATGTATTAGAGAGCAAACCCGACTCCCTTCTAGCCCTGATGATGTTACCTAGTTGGGTAATGAAGTGTCTTCAAAAAAAAAAAAAAAAAATCAAGCTCAGAGAGCACCAAGAACACTGCAATTCAACCCTGAGTTACAAATATTCTCTTTTATTGGCAATACATATTGTTTGATGGTGCAACACTTTTTTTAATAACTGAGAGAGAAAGAGGAAATTATCAAGTTCTGAAGAACAAATTGGAGCAATAAAAAAAGTCAGCAAAAGTATTAGTCTTTGTGTCAATACAATTTTCCTTATAAGGATTTTACAGGGCATGACCCATTTAAATTTGACATTTCGTATATTTTACCTGACAAGAAACTAGAGCAAGGTATAAAATAACAAAACTACATTTTGCCTATAACAAATGGTGCTTTTATTGGAAAGAACGTACAGTTTCTTCTGCTAGCATTTATATATTAAATATGGATGTATGTATAATTTTTGCATTAAACTTATGACTAGCCTTTAATTATTTCTCATCACTTTACTTAGTAAATCCGGTGACATTAGGTCAAAATGTTAAAAATCTCTTCTGTTATTCTTTCTGATATTTATATTTTCAGAAGCTTCCATATTTCCGTGTAGAGAATGTTAATGTAAATCCATAGGACTGAATCCAAAGGTGAGCACATGGAAAATGTCACCATTTAATTTTGGTTGATTCTATACTTCCACATCTTATTACCATTTGATCTGGACTATGTATAAGGCATGAAACAATGATGATGCTTTTCAGATGGTGAACAGCCCGAAGGAACTGGGTGTGGAAAAAAAATATATCCATGGTTTCTTGGCATAACTTTGGATCCAATCTGTAATAATGAACTTTGTGAATTTTCCAAGTGCAGGTTGTCTATGCTGGCAGATTTGTGGACATGATGCTATGGATGTGATTCTAGATTTTATTACAACTTTACAGAAGTTGTATTTGAAAAATTCAAGTATGTCCAGACATGAAATATCAATGTTTGCCTATCTCAGAAAATATTGTTCTTACTTCTTACAGCAATGTTTTTATACTTGGCAATTTTAAGATGAGTGGACTTCAATTCTGAAAAGGTTAAGAAACACTGGTCTACAGGATCTCTTTGATACAAGGTAATGATCCAATCACAGAAATCTTCCAGCTTTTTAATCCATCCCCTTCCTGTCATTCCAGTTGCTAAATTCTAATCAGTATCGTGGGAAAAGTAAAAATACATTCCCAGGACAATAAATGGAAGGACCTCTAGATTCAGTATATGATGGTGTTAGAAAAGGGGTGTCAAACTCGCTATGTCATGTGACATGTCGTGATGTATCGTGACTTTTTTCCCATTGCCAGCAATGGGGTGGGCGCAGTTTCGCTCTGACGCATGGGCCGGCAGTTTGACACCCCTGTGTTAGAATGATGTATATGCTACCTTGATGGACAGGTGATTTCTCTTTATTCTTTTTTACACCAAGATCTCCAAGTAAATTATAAAAGTTTCAGAGGTTAAGAATTAGAGGAACTAAAAAAGTAATTTCCTTCATTTCCTTATGCTTGAGTTTATTTACTTTAATTATTTTTACAATTGCTCTTTTTGAAAGTTTGAGCCTTTAAAACCTCATCAGATACAATTATTTTATAAATTCACAAATTATAGCAATGACATTAGAAGTCATTTCCCTGAAGCTAACAATAGTCATGGTAAGAAAAATCTATTGGGAATTTTATTTTTCCTATGTCTGATGAACAAAAGTGTCATTTCTTTAAGTATTAATCAAGAGATGCAAAGTTCTTATAATTGAGCTTCTAACAATCACCCTTCAATGTCTATTAATCATATATGGCCAACATCCTGAACACTCAGTAAACCAAACAAATTTCTCTTGATGAAGCATGCAGGCTACAAATCTAGCTGAACTACAATCAGATTATTTTCATGAGTCAGTCGCAGATCATTCAGCTATTGAACTCAGTCATGGAACTCTGAACCAACAACCATTAGACTTTCTAGTTTACATCCTTTGGAAGCAGTGTGTGGTTGTTTACTATTAATTTATCTCCTCCAGAATCTAGATTATATGTTTCAATATGTTGAACTCAGATTGTATTATGTTAAACCTACTATAGTGTTGGTCTAGTTCAGGGATAGGCAACCTTGGCTCTTTTATGACTTGTGGACTTCAACTCCCAGAATTCCTGAGCCAGCGGGCTCAGAATTCTGGGAGTTGAAGTCCACCAGTCATAAAAGAGCCAAGGTTGCCTACCCCTGGTCTAGTTTAATGGGTCATATAACCTTCCACCACCCCCCAGCCATTTGTAGCTTGGAATGTTATGTAAACAATCATTATAATGTGATAATTCAAAAGAATTGCATCTAGCCTAGTAGATCCATGCTAATGTGTAATGTATAAAGTGTAAAGAAGAGATATGCAATTCCTCTTCATAAATTTAATTAGCATAGAGTTTAATTACAAGTTTGTTAAGAGGCTTATAGGGTCTCCTCTAGTCTGAGTGGGTGATTGAGGACATATTTAATTATCACACTCGTGTATGGATTGCAAACATTCCTTATATGCAGTGCTTTTTTCCCCCTTTCATTCCCATTCTCAGTTGGTCTCACTATTGATATTAGAATCAAGCCAAGGAAAAATGACATCAAAAATAGTTTGCATTCCTATCAAGTACACCCTCAAACTACTTTTGCTATTTAAATAGGATTCTGTTCTGTTATGAGCATGACTGGAGCAGAGTCATATTTAAATGAATAGATTCCTATCCTTTAATATGTATTAATTCAACTAAAATTGTATGAATAATTTAGTTGGTGTAATTTTTGAGGTTTGCAGAATGATACAAATAGTTAAAGAGATAATTACTCCAATAAAATGTCTTGAGGAACATAGAAAGCTCCTGTAAATATTGTGCAAAAATGTTTTTCCTTAGATCAGCCTTTGCCTAGATTAATATATGATGGTGGTGGTGGGGGAAGTAAACACTCATTCTCAACTTTGCAATAATCAAGTAAACCAAAAGTCATAAAAGCTGAAAGAGACTGAAAACTGAGGTGGAAAAACAGACGAACTTTTTCCAGATCCTGGAGAAGAAAACTTTGGAAATTGGAAGGTATCTTGCACCACAGCATTTATGTCAACATCAGTGATGCTATGTTTGCACATTCTAATCTATTTTCTCAATCCTGTAACAAGAGATGCTATATAAACAGAGATCCCATGATTAAAATTCCATGCACATGAGATCCCTTAAAGAATATACACCATTAATGTAACCTTTCTTTACATCACTGTAAGTGAAGAGGGAAAGAAATACTGACATTTGTCCTCAATGCCTGCTTTCTAGATTTGATTATGCAGTTATGGTTAGGATTCTGCTTCATAACATATTAAAGCAAATGTAAGTTTTGTTGGAAACTATGGAGATTAGAAGTGGTTTAGAATAAAGTAAACAGACTAGGTTCTCACTAAGAATGGGTATTTCTAAGTAACAGAAGAGGAATCACATTCTGATGGAAACTCACTTCTCCAACATTCTTCATTATGAAGCCATGTCAAATTAGGGCCAAACACTAACAAATTTACAAAGTGGTCTCCATTGAGAAACTTGAAACTCCTCATTGTTATGCAGTGTGCTGCTTCAAAGGAGAAAACAGAGATGTCAAAAAGCCTGTTCCACATTTTGCGTCTGTCTCAATTTGTATACCACCTTTGGATAATTAATCACACATAAACTAGCTTATGGGGTCTCTGTATGTTACAAGAAATGTACAAGAAACATAACTATAAAATGAACAGTTTGCGGGTGTATGAAACACACAAACACAAACACATATACACATCTATATATATCCATATAGATGTATCCTGAGCTTAGAAGCAAACTACATATTACACTCACAATGCTTACAAATTTGGGGGACAAACAGCTGCATGTATGTCACCTTAACTTCTCAAAACAAAACAAAAAAGCCTACCAAAACTTTTGTTTAGTTGCTTATTTATGATCAAAGACCAAAATTGCTATATGGTAAAAATAAATACAGCATAAAATACTATTAGATAAAAATAGGCTAATTAATATATTGTTAAAAAAAAAACCTGGCTCTTAGATTTATGTGGAGGTGATCTACTTCCCTGAGAGTATAATTTGATCTTTGATTATGATGAATGAGTTTCCTCCTCATGATGCACATTTACATATTATTGCTATTCGATGTGTGTTCTTTTTTTTTATTCTTATGCTGTTATTAAACTTTGATGTATAAATTGTTTAGAGTTACTTCAAGGAATAAATGTTTTTTTAAAAAATAAAGTTCAGTAAACTGGAATTAACAATTTTGGCATTATAGTCAGGTCCTCCTTGCAGCAATTATCAGTGGGCAGTACCCACCAGCTTTCTTGTATATTTCAGGAAAGCATGACATTAGCAGGAAATAAATATTTTTTGCACAGGCTGATCCAAATGATACAGCTAATGGGGGCTGTATTATGACAGAGGGCCAATGGAACAATGTGACATATGGAACTGAGAGTGCTGGTCCTTTCAAACTGGAACAGAGTTGATCTTATAGAGGGATATTCTATCTCCCCTGCAGAACTATAGATGTAATTAGCCCATGAAAACCTATTAAAATGTGACCTTCTTGACAAATGTTTTAATTAAAAAAACTTATTTTTTTTCTGAAGAAAGACTTTTGTCATTTAAAGAAAATGGCTTTATTTTATTTATTGTATTGTTATCTTTTGGCTTCTCTTATACACACATACAATTTCTTTTCTTGAAAAGGAAATTTGGTGTATTGATTTCCTGACCCAATGTCAAATCTATCCATACATATAATCCCTGCTTTAACTGATTACTTTTACTGTCATCAATGAAACGAATTCGTTGATGTGATGATTTCAAATTTGCTCCATGTGCAATTGTCCAATTGGCTCAGTCTTTTAAAAAGGCCCAATAAGTTTAAGGACTGTAGCAGCCAGTATACAGTATGTACTCCAATTTATTGTTCAAAGTAGTAAAAATCTTTATTCAACACATTCTGAATTCTATATGTGACCTTTCAAGTGGTATCTAATCTTCTACACTATTAACCAGTACAATGGAAATCCTCTCCATATTTCACCTTATTTTCAAAAGCTCTAGACTGAAGTCTCCAATCTTATGCACATATGAAGGTAACTTTCGTGATAATGCCCCAAACATCAGAGAAACAAATAGTTAAAGGTTTTTAGTATAAAGATTGATATCATCAGACTTTCCACTACAGCAATAATATATTGTTATAAGCAGTGGTTTTTTGTAAAAAAAAAAAAAAAAAGGTACCAGAACTCACACATAGCCTTGCCTACCCTACAAGGTTCCATCCAAAAAAGGTGCCGGAACTCCGTTCTGGGCGTTCTATGACAAAAAAAGCCCTGGTTATAAGCTTATATTTATTTTCATACAAAATATTTTGGAAGGGTTTAATTGGAACAGAGAGTGAAAGCCTACTCTTGATTTAGAACTTCTTTGACAGAATAGCTAGGAGGGATTCTGTAGAATATACATACACCTGTATTTCCAAATACTTGGTCCAGCTGAACCCAATGAAACAATTGTAGGAGTAGACATAAGCACAATTTCAGTATGAAGCAGAGAAAATGTTTTATGAGCATATTTTATGAGTCTATTTTACAGTCTGATTTTTTATTTCTCTTTTGATCCATATTTGCTGTTTTGTGTCAGTGGCATTACATTATAGGAGAGTCTCCATGGATAGTTAATCATTCTTCAGAACAGAAACTAAATGGGCATGTAATAGAAAACAATGGCATCTAATCTCTGGAAGTAATTCAAAGAACACGACATTTGTAATAAATATTTCTGAGTAGCACAGAGTTCAGTAGCACAGAGTACATACTAGTGTTCCATCTACTGACCCATAACAATGACTTTGAAGCTCATGAAAAATGTTTGCAATGCATCAAAAGGTATTCACATATTGTCTTCATACCGGATCTAGTCATGCTGCTTTCACCCCCTTCAGACATTAAAGCACATTACTCAGTCACTGTATAAATGGTAAGTATTCTGGTTTTGTTCTAATCCATTAACATGTGTAGTGCTGCATTTTAAGGATGGCAATAACAACAAATATTTAGGACAACCTTATATTGTTATTCTATTTTAAGTCAGCAAGTCTTATTTCACAGCATAGCAAAAATTTCCACAGGATAAAACATTCTCCAGATTAATTATTGGAATCTTCAAAGGACATTAAAAGAACCCAACAAAAGCAGACACACCCATTTGAAAAGACACAGACATCCCCCTCAAGTAAAAGCACATTATTAACTTTAGAAATACAAATATAAATTCTGAAATATAAAAACAAATGAGATATTTCCTTGAAAAAATATTAGTAATGTGTAGACATATATTCTTCTCTCTACAATCTTCCCAGAGATCAATGGTGAATAGGAAATAGCCATGCACAATAGTTTTGTTATTCACTGTTAAGTAATAACTATTGAAAGTAGATCTACAGTAATTTTCTGAAAGTATCCATAGAAAGGCTTTCTGAGGAAGATATTCCTCATATACTCCATCTGATAAATTTTGGATCTCTTTGGCAGATTAAATTTATGTTTCTTTGTGCAGAGAATAAAGAATATTACCTTGTCAAAAGTTGTAGGAAAAGAGCAGGCATAGTTAAGCAATTTAATGTTGACCAGATTAATGTCAGGAACAAAAAATCAGGACCATTCGTAAGGTTGCAGCATAGAAGATTTATTTAAGCCCATACACAAGAATCTGGTCAATAAAATTCAACACTAAATTGGTGCTGGATAAGAATCAATGGGATTCAGGAAGTATTGGATTTGGAGAACTTGTGGGAATGCAATGACACTGAACTGATGACATGCTGAACTCTACCACCACTACCCCAGCTCTGCCTGCCCTTCTCCTACAGAAATATGCAATATGCAATAACCATCTTTTAAGCAAAGAGAATTGAAACATTTTTTTTTAATTCTGAGAAATAAGATAATATTTGGAACCCTATTCTTTGGGTTCTAAAAGATAGAGGAGGTAGAGGACATCAGATTTTTAAGATTTTCTCTCAATGAAATATAGTTCTTGTCCTCCTATAGAGATTCCTGATCTAATCTACCTAAAGAGGCTGACACTTTGGCAGATAAACATGTATCAATATAATTAATAAAGGAGACATTTGTAAGAGAAATCTAAGATAAATATTCCTTTATCTATCATTCCAGAAGAAGTATCTGAAGTGGGAACACTCATTTTCAAAATGTAATTAAAACTGCAAGAACATTGTCATGTCATAAGACAGATTCTAATATCTGTCTTTGATGGCCTTGGATAGCCTTCCTTAAAGAAGTATTTTTCCCCTTTATATTTTTTTCAGAATTTTCAGATTGTGTAATAACTCCAACAAATCTGTTACACTAATATGTCAACATTGATCATATTGTCTGAGGATTCCAGAAACATATAAAGGAGAAGTTGAGAAAACATAACATTCCTAGAAGCTCCTTCAATTAAATCAATTGTGTGCTTCTCTATACCCCAAAATGTGCAAGTACAAGAAAAACTGTAACATGAGAATTAAAAAGGTTAAGAAACTGTGAAACACTGAAAGATCTAAATAACCAAAAGTCCTGTTCTTTTCAAACAGTTCCACGGATTTATTGTTTGTGTATTTAATATATCCAGTAGAGCATAAGCTCATGCAGTGTTTGGTACTAGAAATAGATAAGTGAATGGATAGTTTATATTGCTAGCTAGTCAGACCGCCTTCCTACTGTTCAAAATTCCAGAAAAAACACTTTTTCAGTAGAATTATGGCTTTGTATTCACGCAGTGACTATGCATTATAGATCTTACGTGTCAGCAAAGTCCACTGTGGAATCCCGTTGACTTCCTTGTAGTTAGCCTGAGCAGCAATACAAAGCAGTGAAGTCTGCCAAAAAGTTCAACAGCTTTCGTTCCTCCTTAAATGGTGAAATATCAAGAAGCATCCCAAGATGGAACCAATAGATTCCTAATAAAGAAACCAAAAGTAAGAAAAGGTATTGGAAGTCTACACTAAGGGCAAAGAAACCACTCAAAAAAACCTGACTCAGACCAAGTATTTTTTTTTTTTTTTTAGGAAATGATGTCTATTTGGTAGCTGATTTGGGGGAACTAATAATAAAAATCACAGAATGCCCTCCCTCCATTCTTATTTTAATGTGTTCGTGTATAATGTGATATGCTTTTAGATGCATATCAACCATTGATGACCTTCCCTACTAGCGTCTGGCAAAAGTCAATGGGGGAAACTGGATTTGCTTAATGATTGCATGATTCAATTTAAAACTGCCATGATTTGTTTAACAACCATGGGAAAAAAAGGTTATAAAATCAGGCAACACTCACTTGACACAGTTCTGCTTGGCGGTGGAAATTCTGGTCCTGATTGTGGTCATAATTCAGGAATATGCTACCGTAACTAATATTTCAAAGATGTGTGCATATTTCTTTATCAACATTCCTCCAGTAATTCAAAGATAAGCACAGCCAGTCTTGAGACTGGAATTCTTACCTCTTTGCTTATTCCTAGAAAGGAGTAGTAAATTCAGGATAAGCGGTGTCAGAGGACATATATTTCTGAATCTGCATAAAAACTATAGAACTTTTGTGGGGAATTCTGATGTCTGGTTGGGGATTCTAATATTAAAAGACTAGATTTGGCATAGGAAAGATTGTGTGATTTTATTGTGGATGTACAATGGTAATTCCAGTGGGTTTGGACATAGATTTCACTAGATGGTGCTGTAAAAAAGATTTTTCCAAAAGTGAAAAAAAACAGCTCTGGAATATCTTTTTTTAAAAAATCAGAATTAGAATATTTTTTATATTTAAAAGAGCCTTCCTTATTATACATGGAGCCAAAGACCCTGAGTGTTTCAATTGTTATTCCCTTTTCATTTGCTTAATTGAGTCATTGTATTTTAATTAAAATGTAACTTTATTTTCTCATTCTATCTACTATAGCACATTTTTCAAATTTTTGACGTACTAAACACAGAAATAGACTGCCCTTCCTTTATTCAGAAAGGTATTCTATTTATTTAATCTTTTAAATATTACTTCAAATAATCTTTCAAAGACACATATTAAATCAGAAAAATATTTTTTTTCCATAATGGCCTGTCTGTCTTTGCTCTTCCTATGGGCCATTTTGCTAAACTTTATGGAAAGAAATCATGGCATATAACTAGAGCTTTCATTCACAAACCATCTATCATTACAATAGGTCTTGTGGAGCCCATGGGACTACTCTCCATGCCATGTGGTTTATAGATGTCTGTGTTTGCTATCACACTCTTCACCTTTTAATTAAAGTCTCTCTGTCAGAAAGAGAAAAATAAAAGGGGTCCTATTTGTCACAGGAAATTTTACAGCACTTAACAAAGGGATTCTCAGGTGTAAGCTGCCAAGAAAGAAACCCAATCTTGGTTACTTTTTATTAAAGTAACTTTACCCTGTTGACATTCGCTTCTGTCCTTATAAAACTTCCCAAATGCCTGCAAGACTGAAGAAAGTAGAAAAGCTAAGCATGGAAATATCTGGGGAAATGGAGTGTGATTTGCCACTTTGCTATAGATGCAGCTTCAGGTCAGATTCTAACAAAGCTAATCCTAGTGAGCAATGCATTTAAACTAACTGGAATGTACAACTATAGGACATCAAAGCCACAATATTCATGACATCATCCAAATAAAAGCTGCTTCTAGTTATAACATAAAAGGCTGCGTTTATCTCAGTGTGCTGTCCAGGTATGCTCACAGCCTACCTCCTAGTGTTTTATGGAATATTTTGAAGTACAAATCAGTGTTAACATATATCAGCCAGGGTTTTCTTCTTTCCTAGAATGGAAAGAAACCATGGAAAATATAACACTGAAGGGAAGTAAATGTGTGCAGGACTATGCATGCAGTGTTCTTCCACATATACGCATGCATATGTATCTTTATGTCACATAGTAGAACCAATTCTGGATTCTTGTTTAACCTGAATATAATTCCAGTCTAGTACTAGAATCATTAAATCTCAGTAGAAAAACACAACCAGCCCAGAAAAGCTATGAAATATAATGAAGCAACTTACTTTAGACCTTCAGACTCGTCTTTCACGCTACATCTGGAATCACATTAATAAAAATCTAAGTACTCGGGTGCTCAGTTGGAACACTGAGTGGCTTTTAATTTAAAACAAGAACCCCCCACAGTCTATGATGACAGAAAAGTCTTAAAATGGAATATGGTGAATTCTACATAAAACATACTGAAGTCATTTACGTTAGAAAACTAAAGTTCCAATTACTAAATTATTTCACAGGGCGTTGTTGAATATCAACTCCTTCCACCCTCCTTCTTGCTTGGTTTCAAACATTTCCATTAATTTTTGCAGAGTTGGGTAGCCTTTGAATTAACTAACCTAAAACTCCAGAATAAATCTAAAGACTTGTAACCTCTGGTCTTGTCTTCAATAATTTGGCAGTTCCAGGATAGATTTGCCTGTTCTGTGTTTTTATGTAAATCAAGCTGGTTTGCTTTTCTGGATTTGTAGATCAGCATGCCATTATCATTTCATTTTGTCACTTTATCACGTTTTCGATGTTGACTCAAAAATATATAAAATATGTATTTTAAAATACCCTCAAAATATATCTTTATAGCACAATATACCCAAAAGGTTTAATTTTAGTGTAAAACATACAAAATCATCTTTGTGATGCACTATGTTGTCATTGAATATAAATCAGGCAAAATAGACTAAGAAATGTAGAATTGGTTCAAATTATTTGCCTCTTCTGTACATATGTTACAAGAAGAGTATGGAAGCATCAGTCCTTCCTGATGTTATACAAATACCAGGCATTCAGCAATTTGCTTTTGAAAACAGAAGAAAATAGTCTAATTTTCTAAAGAGCTTCAAAAGAGCTTCAGAAATGTTTGAAAGATGTCAGCCAGCTAAAAAAAGCAATAATTTCAAACTGAGTATACATCCCAAAGATTAAAATCCCTATAAATATAATTAGACCAAGCCATATCAGTTTTTTGTGGGTTGATTGATTTGCTGAAAAAGCTATGCCAATGCAACTCTAACTCAAACTCTATCTAATCAGGAAATATTTCATAAGATAAACTAAGAAACCGCTTTCCTAGGTCTCAAATAATATTTGACAAATAGATTTATCTTCTTAGTTATCTTTTCAAAGTTTAATATAAAATAAGTTATGATCTCACTCGTAAGGTGTGATAATTAAAAAAATTGTATTCTACAATTGGGAATACAAAGACAACAAGACACAAAGAGATTGTGTGTGAAAGAGTTAGAGTGAGTGAGAAAGAGAGAGCAACAGTGAAAGAGTGAGCGAGAGAGTGAACGAGAAAGACAAAGAGAAATAGATGTCAGTAGTAAGCTGTATTTGAACCAATCCATGCAAAGAGTAAAAAAAGAAGGAAAAAATATATATGTTTCCAAATTATATGAACTTTTGGCCTGTTATTCAGTTTAATTCTTTTTAAGGAACAGGAAGTGAATAAAATAGGGAGTGGCAAGAATTATAGAGAATAGGAATATATGAATCAATGAATATTTTGTCTAAGTTAGCACAAAGGTATTCATTAACTACTCTATTCAATTTGGTTATTTATTTGCTCATTTCTTGCTTGGTTAGGTGACATTAGGTTGGATTTAAATCTTGTGACCATAACAACAATAACAACAACAATAATAACAACAACAACAATAACAATAAAGTTGGAAGGGTCCTTGGAGGCCCCCAACCTTTTGGGCACCAGGGACCAGTTGTGTGGAGACAGGTTTTTCTGTGGACCGGAAGGGGTGTGGTTTCACATGCTGCTTACATCCCACAGATGGGGCTTTGCTTGTTTGTGTGGCCCAGTTTCTGGCATGCTGCGGACTGGTGCCAGTCCATGGACCTGGGATTGGGGGACCCTGTTCTAGTCCAACCCCTGATCAGGCAAGAAACCCTATACCATTTCAGACAAATGGCTGCCCAGTCTCTTCTTAAAAATTGGAGGCTAAAACATATAAAGAATGGTTGCTGGAACTGGGTATCTCTAATTTAATGAAGAGAAGGACGAGGGGTGACATGATAGCAGTGTTCCAATATCTCAGGAGTTTCCACAAAGAAGAGGGAGTCAAGCTATTCTCCAAAGCACCTGAAGGCAGGATAAGAAACAATGGATAGAAACTAACCAAAGAGAGAAGCAACCTAGAACCAAGGAGAAATTTCCTGACAGTTAGAACAAATAATCAGTGGAACCACCTGCCTCCAGAAGTTGTGAATGCTCCAACACTGGAAGTTTTTAAGAAGAGACTGGACAGCCATTTGTCTGTAATGGTATAGGGTTTCCTGCCTTAGCAGGGGCTTGGACTAGAACAGTGGTGGCGAACCTATGGCATGGGTGCCAGAGGCGGCACTCAGAGCCCTCTCTGTGGGCACACATGCCATTGCCTCAGCCTTGCCTCCCCCGCAACCCCCTCCACACCAGCAACCCATGCGTTACACTGCAGCCAAGGACATGGCAGCCAGACAGTATAGACAAGACTCTGCCCTCACGCCCCATCACGCACAGTTGATGCTATGGGGCATGGGCAGAAGGCGTGGCCGCCATGGCCTGCTTGGCGATGTGTGGCAGGCCCTGGAGGTGGTGAGTGGCCCTGCAGGCAGGCAGGGTGGGGGTTGGGCAGGGGGGAGTGGGGGCAGGGCCAGTTTTTGGGCACTCGGTCTCTAAAAGGTTCGCCATCACTGGACTAGAAAATCTCCAAGGTTCCTTCCAACATTATTATTATTATTATTATTATTATTATTATTATTATTATTATTGCTGCTACTACTACTACTACTACCACTACTACTACTACTACTACTACTACTACTACTAAATTCATATTATGATAATCCATGATTCAGAATTAGAGATTAAACCCAGATATCCCACATATTGGCCTAACACTTTAGAAGAAACTGTGTGCATAAATTAAAATTTAATGGGGAAATAACAAGAAAGTTACACACTGAGGAAATAAGAACAAAGAAGCAGCTGAATTCAGGAGAAGAACCCAGTTAACAGTACAATTTGAAAGTGATAATAGTCTGCAAGGAATATCACACACAGACTACATTTCCAACCTTTCAAAAAAAATGTGGCTTAAATCTCAGGCTCCTCCATTGCATATAATCTAAATTTGTGTTGGGATATAAATCTAACAAAGAATATGTAGTTGGAAAAAAAGGATAGAGAACAAAAATATGTCATATTTGCTTCATATTTTAGCTCCAACTGATCATGCCTTAAAAAATATAGATGGATGCCCGCACAAACACTTTGGGCATTTCAGTAACATTTATGATTTTTTTTTATGGATAGCAGGCTGCTGTCATTAAGTTATTTGCTCTCTTTTAAGTAGTTCTGCACTTATTTCAACAGGCATCAAATGATGGCTCATTAAAATGTGTTATTATACATAACAATGAAACATGTATTCCTTTTATATTGTATTTAATAATTTGTTCTTTTTACTTTATTTTATATTGTTATATAATCCCAGTATATTAAAAGCAAAACCAACAAAGCTGGAATAAATTCCAAAAGCTGTGAATATTGTTGTTCTCTGTCTGGATTTATAACTTTCCACATAATAAAAGGAATTTTTAAAATGAGAAAAATTTGTAGTTATAAATATCAAAGGAAAAACCCTTGTATATTTATCCAAATAACTAATATTGCATGTTATTTTCCTACCCAATTCATTTTTGTTTTTCCATTCAGTGAATTAAATATTTAACAATTCATCTATAGAATTTATATTATCTTTTAATATCTCCAATTTATTCCTATATCAGCTGTCCTTTTTAAAATTAAAAAGATTTTAAACATTGGTAAAATGAGTATAAATGATAATTGTGATAAAAAAGACTATTTTTTATTTTCTGAGTTCTTCTTTGTGGTAAAACAAGGGATGGAGATTTTATTATTTAATCCTTTGTGGTAAAACAAGCGATGGAGGTTTATTATTTACTCCTTTGTGGTAAAACAAGGAATAGAGTTTTATTATTAAAAGTAAAAAGATAGTACTTCATCACTAATGCAGCAGAGTTTTGTAGAAAACTGTTGAAGTTGGTGTGGCAAGAATTGATACATTCCAATGTACTTGTCCAGCATAGACAAGTAAAATAATAATAATAAAAAAGAAATAAAGTATCTCTGGATCAGTTATGTAATTTTGTTGCTATAAGGTTTCTAAGCTCAGAATTACATGTAATCAGTGTACATTTTAAAAAAGACTTTCTGTGACCCAAACAGACTACAAAGCCAGCCTTTTACTCCAAGTCAGGTTTAATTTAGTGTCATAAAGAGACAATTAATTGTTTATTGCTTTGATTTAGTTATTAGGGCTTAAGGCTCTCAAGTAACATTGCTGCCACTTAAATGACAAAATTGTCCACAAAGATTCTGGACTGTGCAGCAGTGGTGGGATTCAAATACCTGAACAACTGGTTCTCTTATTGGATGTAGGCTTGGGCCTCTGAGGTCTAGAACAGACTTCTGGAAGTGGCATCCATGCACTTCCGGCGGGCCATTCTAGGCCTGGGAAGCATCTTCCAAGCCTCCGATGCCTAGAACGGACTTCCAGAAGCAGTGTGCATTCAGCCGGTTCTCCGAACTCAGCAAAATTTAGCTGTTGGTTCTGCTGAACCAGTGCGAACCAGCTGAATTCCACCACTGCTGTGCAGGCAATTTCTAATAAATAATTGAAACACTTCATTTCAACCATGCTGCTTCTGTGTACGCTGTGCAGGCAAAACAAATCTTGTCCAGAAAAAGGAAAAGGAAAGATTCAGCTACAGATAACTAAGCAGGATTAATATATTTAGCCTTTATTAGTTCCTGATTATTTAAGTGATAGCAAAGCATGGAATAGATCCAGTTACTGAGCAGCCAGCCTGCTTCCCAATATCTTTCTCCAATGCAGAAGAATGGGATGCATGCAGGAATTGAATTATCTAGTAACGGAAGTTTCTTCTGTCATTTGGGATGTTGAAGTCTACCTGATGCCCCATTTCCAAGAAATAAATGGCAGTGAACAATTATCCTTTCCAATCTGCTTCCCAAAATTTTTCCTTGCTATGAAAACAGCCAAAGCCATTGATTTGACCAAAATCGGCTTCCATCTAGAGCAGGGGTTCTCAACCTTGGCAACTTTAAGACTTGTGGACTTCAACTCCCAGAATTCCTCAGCCAGCACACCCATCTCAATTAGGTAGCTGCCAGTGCAAAATATTAATACTCTACCATTCAATTCTTGGCAGGCAAGGGACATTTGAACACAGGTAAGCTGAGACCCAGAACATCTTGTTCTATAGGGAAAATTGTGGTGGACAGCACAGGAAGAGAGAGATCTTTGTGCACAGGCAAAAGCTCTCCGAAGGAAGGGGATTGCAGCCTGTGACTTTGTTTCCTTTTGCATTCGGCCCTTTAAAAAAATATAGTTTCTTACCATAATTCAAATAATGAACCAAGCCCATCACAACTTTAAGAAGTTCACCTTCAAAATATCTAAAAAGTTATAATGATGGTAGAAGAGTTACAAATAAAAAATTGAGAGTCTATTCTATTTCTAAATTAAAGAATGGAAAAGGTAAATATTAAAAAGTCAAGAGTCCCTTCAGATGAGCTGGATTCCTTATGATTGAACATTTGTGTAATCTTCGTTATGACTATATGGAAGTAGTTTTCCACTGTCTTCTTGGATTTCTTCTCCCATCCAAGTATTAAGAATTAGGTGCCAGGTTGGTGTAGTGCAGGGCTTTTCAACCAGTGGTACAGGTACTACCTGTGGTACATTGGCAGCTGGCAGGTGGTACGCAACCATCCTAGAAAAGTGGTAGCGGAGGAGGGGAATGAGCTGAACCAGTGGCAGCACCATATAAGCCTGAGCGAGAGATGGCTGGAGCTACAGGGCTGTCAGGGCTCAGTGGAAGCGCCAGGATCAGTGCTGCTTTCCAGCTAATTGGCGCTTCTTTGGGGCTGTCAGGGCTCAGTGGAAGTGCCAGGATCAGTGCCAGGCTCCAGCTGGAGCCCGGCGCTGATCCTGGTGCTTCTGTTGAACCCTGAAGAAGCACAATCAGCTGGAATGTTGCAGCATCTCCAGGGTCTTGTGATTTACATTCAGATGCTTGGCAACTGATTCATATTTATGACGGTCACAGTGTCATGTGAAGTGACCAAATCCTGCTCCAATCACCCAGCAGATGGGGGGAATAAAAACCAAACATCCCCCTACCCCACTCCTGCTGCTAATCCTCAACAGAAATGCTCACAACAGTGAAAACCTCGGACAGGAGGAAGAGCGCCGCCGGGCGGGCAGGCAGGTGTCTTGCTCAGCTGTGGCTTGGGGGGCACTTTTTTCAGTGCCATTGTAACTTCAAACAGTTACTAAGTGAAATGTTGTAAGTCGAGGACTACCTGTAGTTTATTACTTTTTTCCTTTTTTTTCGTCATTGAGTTTTTGACACCTTGCTGGTGGTACTCGGATGTTGCCATATTCTAAAAGTGGTACAATGGGTGAAAAGGTTGAAAAGCTCTGGTGTAGTGGTTAAGGCATCAGACCAGAGAGAGTGTGAATTCTAGTCTTGCCTTAAGCATAGATCAAGTCATTAGTCAGCCCTGGGAAGAAGGAATGGCAAACCACTTTGGAAATCCTATCAAGAAAACTTCATGGACTTGTTCAGAAAATTGCCAGGACATTAACATCGACTGAAAGGCACCCCCATCCAAAAAAGGAGAGATTTCTTTTCTCATCCAAGTATTAAGTGCATTATAAGCTACTTAGCTTTTCTGAATTCAGTCAAGGTTAGTTACACATCTCTGTAACTAATGGAGTTTTATTTGCTGTTTCTACTTTGTCCAGATCTGAAATAATATGGAACCAATTCAATTTTTTGAATGTATTATTTTTCTGATTCAGTTTATTTGGGTTAGCCCCCTCATTCTTCACCTTGTAACAGTCTAAAAAGATTAGAATAAGAAACCAGGCTTGCTGCCTTCAAGTCACCATACAAGCTCCTTGGAGAAGAAGACCTTGTCTGGGTTCAGAAACTAGATTAGGGAGCCAAAAATTATCCTGGCAGAACACTACAGCAAACAACTTTGGCAATGCTACCTAGAAAACTATATAGACATCTCTATAAAGCTTAGCTCAGAAAAACCCCAACTTTACCTTTCTCCTGTCAGCAACTTTCCTATTGCCCGTTATATCATTTCCCTTCATCTTGTAGCAAGATCTACTTCCATCATAATTATCTCTATGGCAAGTAGCCATTTTATGCCATTCTGGTGGAACACATCATTTGCCCAGTCACTAACCAAAGAGCAATCCAAAAAGTAGTGTAGAAAGAAAGAGAAGCCACCAGTTATTCCATAAAGTTTTCTCTTTCCCCTTATGTGGCTTCAATGGCTTTGAGTTAACTGAATCCAGGATTCTTCCCAGATTACAATTGTGCATTTAGCTATAGCAATTTCTCAGTATTTTTCATTTTTCACACTTTTCTGCTATTCAAATGATTTTCCTACAAACTGAGCAGTGTGCACACTCCTTTCTGCCATTTCATTCAGGCATGCCATTTTTTAAAGCCACCATTGTATTTCTCCTTCAGCTGGTTTTTAATCCTTTCTCACAATCAACCAGCCAATTGTTATTGAGGTACTTTGAGTTTTCTTATTAGCTTTTCTTAATAGTCTTTTCTTCTTGCAAACTTCACAGATTTCCCAAATGTGTTGATATATCTGTTGAGGTAAATAAGACTGTTAAATTTACTGTTCACATATACATCAGCATTCAATGGCTAAATATCAAAAATAGAAAAAAATATCAAAAACATGCATAGGAATAATTCTACCACTGTGCCAAATTTCTAGCTGGTCCCTCTGTGTTGTCTTTATCCTTGTATCAGGCTTTAGATAAAGTTTGTTAAAATTATTAGCAATGCTAAACTTTCAAAATAATTTGCTACCTTTGGCTTTTCATCCTGAGAAAGCCTGGGACATCAGCAGATCATTAAATCTTAATGCTAAGAATTACATTCTAAGCTTTGCGATCTGCATCGTTTACACAAACAACATGTTCTTTCTTTTAGAGATAGAAATAGAACATTTATGCTTATCTGTTCTTTACAAATAGGCCATGAAATGTTCAAAGCATAAAAAAGGAAATATGACTTTGCCTGTAGCTGTTTAGAATGAGCCCAACTGCCATGAAATCTGAAACTCTCCAGAGTACCTTACACGTGGAAGCTACTATCTTATTAGCTATTCCATGGTGAAAATAAAAAGTTGCCTTCAGAGATATTGATGTATTGAAGGCAGGACATTTGGATAATCTGTAAGCCGCACTTAACAGAACATGCAGGAAGGTTTCCCCAAAGCAGCATAATTTGCATGCTCCATTTGGAGTGCAGTGAGGTGACTTCTAAAGAAAAAGGGAATGCCTTTAACCAGGATCTGAACCCAGCAGCATCTTCAGGTGGAATCAAAAGAACAGGACGTGGGTTATGGCATCTTTTTGTCCTTTTCTACAGCATAAAATAGGTGAGCTTTGTCGAAGGACAGTGGACAGCTTTAGCTTTTCTTTCCTTTTGTTGCTTTTCTCACTGGGACTAGAAGGCAGCCAGAGGAGCTCTGGACCAATTACAAAGAGAAAGCACTGATAGCATCTGAGTGGAGGAAGTGGCAACCGAGAGAATGAAGCAACTTTCAGGATAAAGTGCAATTTAGCAAGTGGCTGATTGGAAGACAGGAATGGAGTCCAGTAAAGCTAGAGCAGAAGAACTGAAAGAAGAAGCAGAGCTCAAAAGCTTCTCCAGTCCAGTATATCATATGTGTTAAGTAGTAAGTTAAGGAATAAGTACATTTGTTAAGCTTTGGGTATAACAAAAGCCTCCAGAGAAATGTAGAAGTAATAATAGTATTTTTTTGTTAATGGTCAATGCCATTATCCAAAAGAACCCTTCACAGGCTTTGATCACAGGGCTGAAACTCCCATAGATAACATGGCTGGATTTCAGGACTGAAATTTACAACTCACAATTAAGAAGGTATAAATGCCATTCAAGAGCAACATATAATCAAGATAATGCTAAGCAAGAGGAGATAATCATATAAGACATGATCCATCACATGATCATTAAAAAAGTAAAACATCTGTTCACTCATTGTATGAGGTCACTATACAGCTTTCACTTGCACTTCAGACATCATGCATGAATACAGGGTACGATATAATAGACCTGTTCACGCAAGAATCAACCAGATTAATGGGAATTATGTGTTTGAGACCACTACAAAGATGTGGTCAACTATAATGTAGTGAAATTTATCAATTTCTCCCACAGATGGCCACTTTTGCCCAAGGTTAAATGAAGTCTTGTCATTCCCACTTGAACCCAGTCAAACTTTAGTCATTATGTTTTTTAATTCAGTGTTTTTCAAACTTGGCAACTTCAAAATGTGTGGACTTCAACTTTCAGTATTCCCCAGTAAGCCTAGAAATTGAAACCCACGCATCTTAAAGTTGTCAAATTTGAAAAACACTGACCTGACTGATGCTCTCAAAACAAAGAATCATTAAAAAGGCAAGCCCTTCATTACATAACTGACTACCAAGATCCAACAGCACAGAACACCTATTGAACATTGAGTGACTGTAAAGGGCTGCCCTAGTAATCACTGGCTGGACGCTATAAAAGATGACACTGGGATGACCATGGAGAATCTGAAGGAGGCAGTGCGAGACAGAGGGGCATGGAGAGTACTGACCCATAGAGCGGCTGAGGATCGGACACAACTGAATGGTTGACAATGATAATGAAACATAATGCTCACAGTTCAAACCAAGACACTCAGTGCACAACACTTGATTTAACCAACCCCTTCTCTGGAGTCAGCACATGCACATGCTCACTCCCCACATTGTCATCCCAGAATCAGCAAGAACACACTTCTACACCCAGGACAAGCTCCCGTATAAAACAACCCCATTGCAATCGGTAACCATGGCAGACAGAACCAGACAGCTACATCTGTTACTGTCTGCTTGGCCAGTGAGAAAAAGGTGATCCTGATTATGTCATGAAAACTTGCCAATATTGAGTAGGCATAAGGGTTCATTGGCTATAAGGCATTTTAAGAGGAGGAAGATTCTGTATTCCTAAAATGGTAGTGTCTGTGGTTGCATGCTACCAAAAGCACAGGTAAGGAGATATAAATTATTCCGGGGCTGATTGGGTTAAACTTGTTTTATGAAAAGCCAGTGTTTCATTCCAGGAAGCATGACTCATGGGAAGAGCTGGTCACACTTCCTGGAATGACTTTGGAGAGCACAGTATTGTCATACTTGCAAAAAATATACAGGTTGCCCTTCTTTGTTCCTCTTAGAAGCAATGGAAGAGATTTCATTTGGGCCTCATTCTTCATGTTTTTTTCCTATTCCTTATCAGATGCAGTTATCCTGAAGCAACATGATTACTTTCAGATCCTCATCAAACATATATGTAATGACAACATCATCCATTCTATGCTTATTTAGAAATCACTCCAAGGAACTTACTCTTAAGTAAGTATGTACAGGATTTTGAGCCAAATCATTTTGAATCACTGTCATTTCATAGAGAGGTCCACCTCCATCCATTATGCCCAGGCATACACATTCTTGTAATATTAGAATTCCTAGGTTTGCGGTTTAGCTTTCAGCTCGTGCTTTGCTCCAAAATTGCTTGATTTTTTTTTTCACATTACAGTGTTGTTGAAAGATTTGTGGAACAGGATCATGTTATTCAAAGCCTGTTTAGACAAACCTTTTTTATTACTCTACTTCCTTATTGTTAAGAATCAGATAATTTTGCTTTTTAAAAAATAATGATTGATGTATGTAACATTCAGTGCCTTTGGTAGGCTTGCACAGTCTTGTCATTTCATTTCATGCTGGATGAGAGAAACTACCTCATAAGCTACATTATTGATTTGTGGTTTTCCTTAACAGCTATAATTAAATTCTTCCAGTTCCCCTTTATTGGCATATTTGATTTGGTAACAATAGAACAATTGTTTTCCTTTCAATTTTAGAGGCTTAGAGAGCTGACGCTGCAAGTTTCTGTAGTGAATTTATAATCTCTTAATTCACTTTATTATTGTTGTTACTTCTGTTAAACAATACATTTTTAAAAAAGATTATAAATGCTCAACAGATGAGTAATAGATCTTAACTGCTCCTCTTTTGGACAAGCAAAGATAAATTTCCACTACTATCAAGTGTGTTCTGGGAGTATCCTTAATATACTGCATAAATATCCAGGTTGCCGGGATATGGACAGTAGGATCAGAGAGGCCAACATGTACAGAATAGTGTGAGAACACGGGATTAAGTTGGGTTTTAGTGACATTTGTTACTGACAAAAATATGCCCAAACTCACTTGTACTATTCTTAATATTAACAACTGTATATGGGCCCAGAAGTAAAAAATATAACAAGCAAAGGAATATCAAAACACATCTATATGTGCTTTATAGAAACCTTCAATGTGTTGACCATTGAAAATTCTGAAAATGCCTCAAAGAACTGGGAATATCACCACACCACCTCCAGTACATTAGCCATTGTATTCTAATCAGGCAGCTACTGGTTCAGAATTGGAAAAGGCATTTGACAAGGTTGCATCCTGCCCCCTATAATACTATTTAACATGTATACATTAATAGTTATGAGAAATGCACATTTGGAGGAATGTACCCATTGGGGTTAAAATAGGTGGTAGGAATACCAACAACCTCCAATATGCAGATGATGCAATATTGCTCACAGAAAACACGGAGGTTCGAGAGTGGCTAATCCAGAAAGTCAAATTTGAACTACACCTTAACATCAGGAAAACAAAGATAATGACAACTTCAGAGAACACACAGGTTAGAGTGCAGAATAACAATGACACCATCAAAATGGTAAAGGAATTCATCTTCCTGACCTCTAAAATCAACCAAAATGGTGACTCTAGTCCTGAGATTCGAAAGCGTATAGCACTTGGAAGAACTGCAATGTCTGGCATGAATAGCATTTGGCAAAGTAAAGACATCGGCCTCACAACCAAATGCAAATTAATTAACGCGATAATTTTTCCAATTGCTATTTATGACTGTGAAATTTGGACTCTGAAAAAGGCAGACAGAGAAGGGTGGATGCCTTTGAAATGTGGTGCTGGAGGTGACTATTATGTATCCCATAGACTGCAAAAATAACAAACAAAGAAGTCCTAGACCGAATCTCACCAAAATTATCACTTGAAGCCAAAATCACCAAACAGAGGCTGTCAAACTTTGGTTATGTCATGAGAGCTGACTCATTCAAAAATTCAATCATGCTGGGAGTGATCAGTGGAAAAATGAAAAGGGACTGCCTTAGCACCCACCCAGCTGGACACTATAAAAGATGACACTAAAATGATCGTGGCAGATCTGAAGGAGACAGTGCGAGATAGAGGGGCATGGAGAGTGCTGATCCATAGAATAGCTGAGGGTTGTATATGACTGAATGATTGACAGTGATGATGACAAAAACCTTGATTGATCAAAGCTTTGATAGGAGATGGAGGTCAGTATCTATAGGTCATCTAGTAATTTTCATGACATATTGAAAATTGTGACTTTACTGGAAGAAGAATAAATGGTAAAATGGATGAATTAATAAATTGAATGAAAGGCAAATAAATATGCAAGTAAGCCAAAGTGGGAACATGTA